GAGCCTTCAGGTGGGTGTAAGTTTACTCTCCCTGTAAGGCCCTGTTTACACTGCCAGTGTGGGGCCAAGAGGGCGATCGTGTAGATGAGAATCGTGCCCTTGGTCTTCAGAGCTGCTTCTGAAACAGACGAGGTTTGTGTGGAATGTGGTCTCCCCTCTCCATACGCCCACATAACACCTGTTAATTCCCAGCTGGAGGGGCTGTGCTCCCGCAGCTGGAAAATCACGCTGGCCCCCACTCAAGCGATTAATGAGTTAGGGGGGAAAAAACTCCTGTCTGTCCATCATCAGAACCATTTATATATAACCTTGCTTATAAATGTACCCTCCAGGAGCTGGGTGGAAGGCCCTGCCGTGGGACTTCTTTCAGCTGGCCACAGACTAGGAATGGCGAAATGCAGAACACACTGCACCCCCGCTGCCCTGCCAGCCAACATGCTCTTGAGAAGCCAGGAGGGGTGTTCAGTCCTCAGGGCCCATTCAGCTCTTGGAGGCTTTACTGAAACTGCTGACAAGGGTCGGTGCTCTGGATGACTCTTTCCTCTGCAGGGAGGGTCTTGCATACCCGGGCACTCTATATACACCTCTACCCTGATATAACGCTGTCCTCGGGAGCCAAAAAATCTTACCGTGTTATAGGTGAAACCGCGTTCTATCGAACATGCTTTGATCCGCTGGAGCGCTGCTTTACCGCGTTATATCCGAATTCGTGTTATATCGGGTCGCGTTATGTCGGGGTAGAGGTGTACCTGGGAATGTGGCCACATCATGTGCTGCTCCCCAGTGGAGAGAGGTTTTATTTTAATTCTTTTTAGCCTCCCAATGCGATTGACGCGTCACTGAACTGGTGGCTGAAAAACTCCTAACTCTTAGAAGAGCTCACCAGGTGCCGTGGTGGATCTTCTACTACTTGGAGTCTTGGTCGGTGCTGCCTTTTGTGGATAGAGCATTGAACTGAGAATCAGGAGACCTGGGTTTCTATTCCTGGCTCTGCGGCTGGCTTGCTAGTGACTTTGGGCAAGTCGCTTCGCCTCGGTCCGTCTCAGTTTCCGCATCTCTAAAAGGGGGATATTGATACTGGCTTTGAGGTCCATTGATGACAAGCACTGTGTCAGCGCTGGGGATTGTTACTATTTTATTTAAATCCGGATAGGACATCGCTCTAAAAGTAACGCTCTAGCACAGCCACAAGTTACTGGGCTTGATTCAGGAATTACTGGGCGAACTTTGGTGGCCTGTGTTATGCAGGAGGTGAACCTAGATGATCGCAAAGATCCCTTCTGGCCTTTCCACCGTGAACGTGAGCCGTTGGCTTCCTCTGGATCTCTTGTGGTTTGGTTTGGTTTGGTTTTCCCCTTGCTTTACGGCCAACGTGCCTCAATTTGGATCTGGAGGCACTTTCCCTGTATCAGTTCATTCAGTCTCTTCTATTCTACATAGGTTCTTATACTGCGCTCATCACTGTAGTATCTGTGTGCTTATCACAGTCGTGCATTAAGTGACTAACATCTGTCACATGTTGTTTGTTCTCTCAGCCTCTCCCCGGGGGAGAAGCGTGTGCAGTTTTTGTAATTTTTTTTTAATATAGATACCTGTTGCTCTGTGTTTTATATTAGAGAAGGCGCGGTCTGAGAAATGCACCTTGCACTGGGAGCAGAAGGTGGTGAGGTTTGTATCTGGATCTGTAAAAAGCAACAGAGCCCTGTGGTACCTTTAAGACTAACAGATGTATTGGAGCACAAGCTTTCGTGGGTCATGCGTCTGACGAAGTGGGTATTCACCCACGAAAGCTTATGCTCCAATACATCTGTTAGTCTTAAAGGTACCACAGGACTCTCTGTTGCTTTCTCCTGCAACAATGAGTTCCACAGGGTGAGTAGGTGGCACGCCTGTGTGTGTATTTCCTTTATTTGTCCTAAGGCTAACAAGTAAAATTTGAAAATGTCTATGGGATTTAGGTTTCTGCGTCACGTTGGAAAATGGGGCTTATAGACTCCTTTGGCAGTTTTACCCCAAATGTTCAGATTTGGGTATTTAAAGTTAGGCACCTAAATTCTTATTTAGACACCTGATTTTCAGAGATTTGGGTCCTCATGCGTGTGACTGAGTCCTCATCATCTCTGAAAATCAAGTGTCTGCAATAAGAATTTAGGGGCCTAACTTCAAACCGCCCAGGTTAGAAATTTTTGTTAGGCTTAAAGTCACCAGTTCTTAATTGAATTGAGTATTTGGGCTGAAACAGCCCAAATATATATATATATATATAATATATATATATATACACACACACACACCCCTGGGTACCAGGGAGATCAGTGCCTTAGTGATACCTTAGTGATACCTTGTACCTGGGGCAGGGAAAGGGTTAATCTTTCTAGCATCTGAAATCTTCATCCAGAGTTCTAGGTCACTTCCATATTCTGACTAAATCTCTCCCCCGCTGCCCCTCTGCCAGGACCACAAGAAGCTGGAAGCTAATTGCCGCTCACAGATACGGCTGGAATTACTTTCGCTGGGAGCCCATTGCTGCTTGCGTTTCTCAGCGCAGTTGTTAGGAGGCGTCTTTAATCCACGGCTTGCGAATAAAAAGCACAACAGTTCTAATAACTGAGATTAGTTAGTGCTGCGTGTTGGGGTGGGGGAGGCCAGCAATCTGGCATGCATGCCTCTCTAGCAGCTAGGCCTAGATTCTCCTGGGCATGCTCTCATCTCATGACTTTATTATGGTGGATTTTTGATCAGTTGAAACAAAGAACCAAGGGGCTAAAGCTATAAAGTGCTCTGAAGACAGCTGGCCTGACTTATGCTAAGGATGCTTTGAGCCATTCCAGGAGCATAGGGGGAGCCTTAAAGTGGTTGGAACAAGCTCTCCGGTGTAGCGAGGCTGCCTGGCTGCTATGTAGTAGCTCTCCGCCAGCCCAGCTCACAGCCCCAGCATCGGAGGAAAGGACTGGCGGGAAATTTTCCATCAGAACTGTTTAGCTGGAAAATTGGGTTTTCAGCTAAACTCAATTTTTCACAGAGACTGTCTGCTTTCCACACGCGCTTTTTTTTTGGGTCAAAAACTCAGACTCAAACATTGAAATATTTTGACTGAAAGCCACAAATGGCATCATGGGAGATGTCATTAGACCAGGCAGCCCGGCCTAGAGAGGAGAAATAGGAGCATGAGGTACCTGAACGACAACTCCCATGAGGCACCAGGGCAGCGTATCCAAAGTGGAATATTTTTGGTTTTGGCTAAAATATTTTGAGTTGTTGCTTTTTCTCCAAGGAGTCGACTTTTTCTGTTGAAAATTCGGAGTTTTGGAGAAAATGATTCTTTTTTTTCACCAACATTTTCTGTAGAAAAAAGCCCCTTTTCTGACTAGCTCTTACGTAGGAAGCAGATTGGGGGCATGGTCAGAGAGCACTCCCCAAGACTTTTCTGTTTTTCGTACAGCCCCAAGGCTGCTGTGCCATACGGTGGGTGTTGGGCAGGTCCCTGAACAGCCCCACAACGCAGGGAGCAGGGCCGGTTGGGAAATGATCTTTTGTTCCTGAAAAACATTATGATGAAAATTCTTTTCATTTTTTCTTGTTGAAATTTTTCTGCAAAAGTACTTTTCTCCCAAATTTTCATCAAAAAACTGGAAAATCCTAAGATCTTTGGCCAAAATCTGGATATTTTTTTTTGTTTTGTTTTCAAATATTTTACAGAAATATTTTGATTTTGGGGCTGAAACTTTCAGGTTGTGTTTTGACATTGAGAACCTGAAGAGTATTGCTGGCAACTGATACGTCCCATGAAGGTTTCCGTTTTGACAACAAAGCCATTTTTCATAGGAAGGAAAAAAAAATTTGAATGAAAAACGTTGACCAGCCATAATGGGGAGTGCAAAGGTAGCTTAAAGTCCTCTTTATCCCGTATCTGCATGCTCTGTCCCTCCCTCAGGTGCCGTAAGAGAGCAACTGGGAGTTGGGCCCATTCCTTCTGGGCATTTGGGGCATATCAGGGATGAAGATACTAGTATCTAATGTGCTGTAGTGGAGATGGACCTCAATCCGAACCCAAATCCCCCCCACCAGTTGGGGGCATTCTGATCTGTGTCTGGACCAGGCAGCTCCGGACGTGTCTCTGCAGTCGTAGTCCAAGTGACTTTGCCCCTTTGCTTTGTGGCTCAGGTGCTCCTTCGTCTCCATTTCAAACGATCACTTAAACCCGTTCAGCGCTGCGTTGGAATGGTAATGACTGACAGTTGATGGGGTGAGGGTGGGCAGGGCTTTTCGCCGTTCATGGTGACGTAGGTTTGGTGTTCTCAATCCAGTTCCCAGGGAACAGGTATCCATTGAGTCACAAATTGCGTTTGTCACAAATTGTTGACAGTTTCCTCAGACAGAGGAAGGTTTGAACTGGCGTGAACTCCCTTTCGCACTGTGGATGAGACTGTGTAGCCAAATTCTTAAAGAACTCATATTAACATCAACATGGGGCTTTGTCTCCCTCTAGTGGCTGGACCTTGTAAGGAGGTTTGAGTCAGCTGTTGCATTTATGGACCTGGGCTTTCAGCTCAGGCAGTAGCGCTTCGTTCTTTTGAATCCGGAGGTCTGCAGAGATAACCAGAGCACAGTGGGTGGGTAAGGACATAGGGACAACCCATTCTCTCAAGTCAAAGACCCACCACAGCAGATAAGAATAAAGCCTGATGCTTGCAATGGGCTTGTCATCCAGGGATCTCAAAGCAGTTTATGGAAGTGGGCTGATATTATTGTTCCCTCTTCACAATTGTGGGGGGACAGACGTGGGAGGTGGTGGAGCCCAGGGCCATGTTACGGAGAAGTTATCAGTCATGGAGTAGAGCCAGGCGTATTAGTTATCAGTGTGGTGGTCTAACTACTAGGTTAAGCTGCCTCCCTCGGCATCTAGCTTCTGTTGTCAGGGAGGGAAGTGAGGGACCATTTAAAGGAAAGGGTTTTTCGCTCCTGAATTCTTGCATCTCCTTTCTTCTCTCTCCCTGCAGCTGATAGTAGAAAAGACAACTGACTACCCTTCCGCTGAATACTCTCTGGTGGAGGATGTAGCCCTCCACTTCACGTGTTTGATGGACAGACTGAACGAGCAGCGCCTGTTTCAGCCGGACCTGTGCGACGTGGACATCGTCCTAGTTCAGCAGAAGAGCATCTTCCCCGCCCACAAGGGGGTCCTTGCCGCGTACAGCCAGTTCTTCCACTCTCTCTTCACCCAGAACAAGCAGCTGCAGCGGGTAGAGCTCTCCCTGGAGGCCTTGACTTCCCAAGGCCTCCAGCAGATCCTCAACTTCATCTACACCTCCAAGCTGCTGGTGAACGCCTCCAATGTGCAGGACGTCCTGAACGCTGCCGCCGTGCTGCAGATGAACAACATCGCCTCCTCCTGCCAGGAGCTCATCAACACCAGATCCCTCAGCCTGGCCATGGCCAGCGACATGGCCCTGCCCCCCGACGCCTGTGGCAACTCTGTCCCCCCGCAGTACTACTGTGAGATTAAGCAAGAGGTGGACTCTCTACACCCCAAGATCTATGCCCGGGAAGGAAATGATCCCTACTCAGTGCGAGTAGAGGACAGAATGGGTGGAGACGGCAACCAGCACCTCCCGGCTGTGGCTGCCAAGCAGTATTACAAGGAGGAGAAGGACAGTGGCCTGGCCACCATGTGTAAGATGGAGGGCGGGGAGTCTGAGGAGGATCTGGACAGCCAGAGCTCTTACAACCGGGAGCAGATCATTGTGGAGGTGAACCTCAACAACCAAACCCTCAATGTCTCCAAGGGGACGGAAGGGAAGCCCACCGCCAACGAAGCTGCCGCCGTGATCAGCCGACCGGAGGGGGATGGACGTGACACCGAGGAGGAAGGGGAGGAGGAAAACGAGGAAGCAGGGGGGGAGGAGGAGGAGGACGCTGAGGTGGGGGAGGAGGAAGAGGAGGAACACAGCGAAGAGGAAGACCTGGAGGAGACCACCGAGGAGGAGGAGGAAGAGGAAGACGACGAAGAGGTGTCTGAAGTGAAAAGGGAAAAATCTGGGCAGCCCCGCAGGGGGAGCAGGTCATCCAAGGCCACCAAGTCCACCATGTCCACCAGGTCCCAGGATCTGGCCAAGGTGGTGGAGGAAGAGGAGGGCCAGCGTGGGAGGAAGAGGAAAAAGGAGCAGGATGGGCTGGGCCCGAAAGTCAAGCTGGAAGAGAAGCAGCACTACCCCTGTAAGAAGTGCCCCCGCGTCTTCAACAACCGCTGGTACTTGGAGAAGCACATGAACGTCACCCACAGCCGCATGCAGATCTGCGACAAGTGCGGCAAGCGCTTCCTGCTGGAGAGCGAGCTCCTGCTGCACCATCAGACGGACTGCGAGAAGAACATCCAGGTGAGCCGCAGTCATGGCCCGCCTGGCCCCAGGGCGCTGCAGAGGGGCCCGGGCACTCTGTGCCACCGCCTGGTGACATGCCAGAGGTATGCGGGGATTGGGCATCGTACTCTCCCAGCAGAGCCACGAGTGATGCTCCAAGTACTCTGAGATTGCGGCTGGTGTTCCTTATGGCAGTGAGGTTTGTGTGTGTTGTCCTGGGGCTCTAGTGATACCAGATCTTACTTTGGCTCCCAGTTACCCCGCACATCCCGATCCCTGGTGGGTGGGAAAGAGAGGCAATAAGTGATCTACACTGCGTGGCTCTGACTGCCTTATAACAGGAACAAAACCACTGAGGTACAGTAGAGGCATGGCCCAAAATACTGCTGTGTCCTGTGGGGTCACTATAGCCTTCTGAGCTGTTGCTGCAGAGTTTTGTATTTTAAACAAAGACAGGCACAGGTGGGGCTCTGTCCCGCTTTTTCTGACTGAAGGACTGGGAGGGCTGGGGGGCAGGGTTGTCCCTAAATAACAGGGTCTTTGAGAGGCAGGAATAAAAATGTAAACATGGGGGTGAGGGTAGGGGGTAGGGAATTGAAAGGATCCTGGATTGAAAGCTACATGCCCCGAAATTATAGAATCCTAGAAAATCAGGGTTGGAAGGGACCTCAGGAGGTCATCTAGTCCCACCCCCTGCTCAAATGCTATTAAAGGGCCTCATAATGAGGATTAAAGTCTTGGCCTAGTGTCCGAGCGCACTGGCATGGCACCTTATAGAGGGCAGGCTGTGGGCACAGAGAGAACACGGCATAGAAAGCTAGGTGACGTAAGGCTGTGATGAATGGCTGGCGCCAATGTGTTTGAAGCCCGTTAACAGTGGCATTGCAGGTCCATAGCTCTGACACCAGAAAACATCCCACTGCTCTGACATCACACCCATGGGAGCTCTCTTACTTTAAGGCAGTGGTTCTCAACCAGGAGAATGCATACCCTGGGGGTACCCAGAGGTCTTCCAGGGGGTACATCAACTCATCTAGACATTTTCCTAGTTTTACAACAGGCGACATAAAAAGCACTACCGAAGTCAATACAAACTAAAATTTCATACAGACAGTGACCTATTTATACTGCTCTGTATAGTATACACTGACGTGTAAGTAATATTTATATTCCAATTGATTTATTTTATAATGATACGGTAAAAATGAGAGAGTAAGCAATTTTCAGTAGTAGTGCGCTGTCACACTTTTGTATTCTTATGTCTGATTTTGTAAGCAGATAGTTTTTAAGTGAGGTGAAACTTGGGGTACGCAAGACAAATCAGACTCCTGAAAGGGGGACAGTGGTCAGGAAAGGTTGAGAGCCACTGCTTTAGGGTGTTGACAAATGTCAGTTGTAGAACTGCAGTGCCAACTGCTGGAAAGAAACTAAATTGCAGCACTGCAGCGAGTGGACAGTGGTATGCATCCTCGTGTTATTGTGTAAACGTGAAATACGAGCAACAGGGAATCAAGGAAAACGCTGGGTTTCTGTGACCCCAAACCACTCAAGCATTGATCTCTTGTTCTGCAGTCACTGCCCCCTGCCTCCCAGTGTGTTACACTGAGACACAAGGAAATTCCTTATCTACCGGTGTGAGTGTCTTGGCAACAAGGGTTTGTCTGGTACAATTAGAATCTCGAGCAATGATGACCAAGGATTTTAGTTGTTTAGTATGTAGACCAAGGTTGTTTAGTTTGTAGACGAGGAAAAAGTAAAGCTAATTTCTTTGTGTATATTTATGTGTGTACACACACACACACACACACACAGAGCATAACCCCACAAACAGAGCACAACCCCCTCCCAACACACACAGAGCACAACCCTTGTATCCAAATGCCCTGATCCAAGGAACTGCTAGCAGGTCTGTTTCCGATATTCCCTACCAATTTACCCCAATACATAACAGTGTCACTCAAGCAGTTCGGATAATCCATGATGCTACTGTCTATAGGTACTTATCTAATGTTTCTTGTCATTTTCATACATATACTTAGACCTTGTCTATAGTAGAAATATTGCACCGGCTTATCCAAACCGATTTTAAAAGTCAGTCAATCAATCCAGTTACATTGATACAAACTCTTAACATAGACACACTTCAGCCAATTTAACCCTGTTTTAAATTGATTTAGCTTAATTTGGAAATTTGCTGCGTGAGATAAAACAGCTTTAATTCTTGCTCTAAATCAGTTTAGCTTTTGTGTCAGCGAATTTCTGAATTCAGTTAAACTAGTGTAATCCTTGCTTAAATCGCTTTAAGTATGTCCCAGTTTAACTAGATTTAATGGATTCTTAAAATAGATTCAGTTAAACCAATGCAACTTTTCTAATATAGACCAAGTCTTCTTTAAGAGTAATTTATTGGCTGGCTGCTACAGTGGAACAATACAGGTGACATGAACCAATCAGAACCCAGGAAAAGTTTAATAATGCTGAATGCTGCAGCTGCATTGATTAATCAGTAAAAGTGAATTTTTAAAAAATTCTCCAACAAATCTTCTAATCCATGTTGAACTGTTTTAGATGATGCTGTCATGACTAATATATATATCCTAGACAGTCCCATGCTATCCTTCCAGTGCTTGAGTGATTTATTTTTAAATTAATCCAGCTCTGATCTTGTGGGGGTTATCCCTAAAACTATAGCTATGGGCAGTGAGGTTGGTGAAGCCACGTAAAATTCGAACTCTTGCCCTTCCATTACCCACGTGTGAGGGATACTGAGGGATAAGGACTGGGCGTAAAAGATGCAGGAAGTCTAGGAATGCAGAAGGCTTCAAATAAGATAGGTTCACTCTAAGCATAAAATAACACTGCTTATAACCAACTTCTTGTGTCGCTGTTTCTGTGGGAAATAGGGAGGCACAGTCCAGGCCCACCATGGTTGCGACTCTCCCACAATGGAGAAACCACATAAGAAGGAAAAAAAAATGGTCCATAGTTATGGGTTAGGCTACGATTTAGTCATGGGTATTTCTAGTAAAAGTCATGGACAGGTCATGGGCAATAAACAAAACTTCACGCCCCTGACCTATCCATGACTTATACTATAAATATCCCTGACTAAATCTTGGGGAGTCACTGCTGGTACCAGTGGGGAGAGGCGGTACCAGCCATGACATCAGCTGCCGGGGGCTGCCGGAGCAGCAGCTGTCCGGCAACCCTGGAAATCGCTGCTCAGGTGGTCCCCAGGGCCAGCCGCACCGCCTGAGCAGCGGCCGGTGCAGCTGGCCCTGGGGCTGCTCCAGCAGTGGCCCAGCCCCGGAGCCAGCTGCTTGGGCGACCCCGGGGTCAGCCACACCGGCCGCTGCAGAAGTCATGGCGGTCACAGAAAGTCACGGAATCCGTGACTTTCCGCCACCTCCGTGACAGACACAGAGCCCTAGTTATGGGCCACGTTCTGGTATCCTTACTCAGCCTGAAGAGTACTTTATCCCAAGCGTTCCTATTGAAGTCAGCAGGCCAGATTGTCACCTGTTGTAAGTCAGCGTAGCTCCATTGAAGTCAATAGCTACATCAGCTCCACCAGCTAAGGTTCAGCCCCATTTGCATCCACTCGTAAGAGTAAGGCACTGCTCAACCTGAGTTCGAATATCAGAATCTGGTGCTAAGGTCCTGAGATTGAACTTAAAGCAGAATTTAAACTCCTGTGTACTGAATGAATTACACACAAAAAAACCCTACATTGAAATATTACGGTTGCAATCTCCGTCATTCAAAAATGTCAGAATTAAGGTTGTGTGTGCAACCTTAATTCAGCCCCTTGCATGTATGCATTATGGTACAATCTTTTTAGATGATCAGATACTGTTTTTTTCCACAGGACCCTTGCCTCATTCAGTGCACAGGATAGTTATTCAGTATTTGGTTTTCTCCTCATAGTTCAGTGTGCACCCCTGTGTTATTTTACTGCACACTATTCAAACCCTGCTATGAAGATGGAGTCATTAATGCCCTTATGGGCTTTTCTGTGGCCCACATCATTGTCTATCCAAGTGCTGCACAGACAGTATCCAGTCTATCTTTACATCACCCGGGGAGGTGCAGGGATGGTATTATCCCCATTTTACAGAAGAGGCACTGAGGCACAGAGAGATTAAGGTTAAAAGTTTTCAGTGATTTGGGGCAACCAGTTTGAGGCAGCTAGGACCTGATTTTTCAAAGTACTTTGCATTAAATAGCAATTTATGTGTTCGGGGCACAGCTCCCATTGACTTCCCTGGCAACCGTGAGTGCTCAACACCTCTGCAGATCTGACCCCAGGGTCTCAAGATGGCACCCAGAAAATGAGGACACACAATTAGTGACTGCCTGTGAAAAGTTTGATTGACGTGATTTGTCCAGTATCACATAGGCACTGTACAGCAGAAGCAGGGATAGAATCCAGTTTCCAGGGCAGCATTCAACTGCCTTCATATTGTAACCACGGGTGTGTCTACACGGCAACACCCGTAGCTGGCCCATGTCAGCTGACTCAGGGTCATAGGGCTTGGGCGGCGGGGCTGTAAAATTGCAGTGTAGACGTTTGGGCTCTTACGAGAGGGGCGGGTCCCAGAGCCCAGACTCCAGCCTGAACCGAAATGTCCACACAGCAATTTTTAGCCTCACAGCCTGAGCCCTGAGCGTGAGTCAGCTGACACGGGTCAGCAATCGCCACGCTGCTGGTCTTTTGTTCCAGTGTAGACGTACTCAACAAGGCAGGAGTCCCGCAGAAAAAACGGTTGGTCATCGTGTAATTAAAGATTGTATCATAATGTATATGCACAAGGGAACAGAATTAAACTTGTACAGACAACCTTAATTCTGGCATTTCCTAACTTTTGAGTACTGGACTTCAACCAAAATTGCAACTTTTCTGAGAATTTTCAGGCAAATATTTTGATTGATTTGAATTTAAACTAATCTATTTTATAAATCTACATACAAATCATTGTGCCTGTGAAGGATTTTTGCCTGGTACTGTTTTCTTGTACAGTTGACGTCCCCCCCCCCCCTTTTTTTTTTTTTTAAGTCTTAGTGCAAATCTATAGAAGTTTTTTGTGCATTTTTGTGGTAAAATAAGTATTATGAGCGAATTTATGTTCTTTCTGCGTCTGACAATGATGCTAAGCTTGTACGGCAGTGAGACGTTCAGTTCTTTGATCTGTACATTGAGGGAATAGCATTGTGGAATATGAAGAGTGCTGTGACATTGTGCCGGCTTGGGGAAAGTACAAGTATCTAACCTGAAGGAGGTTAGAGAGTAGGGCTGGTTGAAAACACATGGATGACCATTTTTTTAACACGAAATGGCTTTCTGAATAATACGAATGTGCTGAACGGTGCTCAGAGCATAACTGGGATTGTGTAGTTAATGAGGTGGTTCTCTGTGGGATGTCCAGAAGCTGCAGAAGTTGGAAGGTGTGTAGTGAATGAAGGAGGGGACTGCAGGAAGAGAAAGGAGGGTCTCGTGGCTAAGGCAAATGCTACCCTGAAGAATTGGAATCAGTCCCTGCTTCTGCCACCGAGTTACTACATGATACTGGGCAAGTCACTTAAACCAAACTTCCCAGGTGGCCATTGTGTCTTCTTTAGTTCTTTCTTTCTGGGTTGTCTGAACTTCAGACACCTGGGGTGTGACTTGTGAAGTGCTGAGCATTCCCAGTCTGAAGTCAGTGGGAGTTTTGCTTTGAACATATAAAGCGCTAGCTCAGGGGTCGGCAACCTTTCAGAAGTGGTGTGCCGAGTCTTCATTTATTCAGTCTGATTTATGGTGTCGCGTGCCAGTCATACATTTTAACCTTTTTAGAAGGTCTCTTTCTAGAAGTCTATAATATAGAACTAAACTCTTGTTGTATGTAAAGTAAATAAGGTTTCAAAATGTTTAAGAAGCTTCATTTAAAATTAAATTAAAATGCAGAGCCCCCCGGACCGGTGGTCAGGACCCGGGCAGTGTGAGTGCCACTGAAAATCAGCTCGAGTGCCGCCTTCGGCACACGTGCCATAGGTTGCCTACCCCTGCGCTAGCTAATGCCGGGGAAGGAAAGCTCATTCTCCAGAAGGGTTGAGCTCTGCGTTGTAGCCAGAGCGCTGAACGCTGAAGACAAGGCTTGAAAGCACTCTGGTAACGTGCAGCTCCTGGGAGAGAGATGGGGAACTGAAGCAGCAGACACATCTGATCCCATCCCTGAATGGATCCCACAACACTTTACACACATGGCTAACTGATGTCGAGCAAGGCTAGGCAGCGATTTGGGCAGGCAAGGGAGAACAGTTTTCCCTCCACACTGAGAATGCAAATAAACTGGGATTGACAGAATAAAATGGCCAAAAGTGGAGTTAAGCCTGGATGCTAGATTTAACACATCGGTGATTAACAAAGTGCCCGGGGTCTTCAGTGACCACATATGTTTGATTTTACAAGCCCCATCCAAATTACAGCATGCGCGGTAGGGCAGTGCCCCCTCTGCTGAGGCTTTGATTCAACACCGGGCTTACCTTGGTGAGTCAGTAATTTGTCCCGTCTTTCAGCAGTCTCCAGACCTTGGGGGTTTCCCATCCAAATGCTGGCCAAGTCCAACCCCGTTTAGCTTCTGTTCTCCCCAGCCCTGGCGGCCAGAGGTGGCGTGGTGGCGGAGCGGAAGCCTACTGAGCTGGCACCATGAGAAGCAGAGAGTGGGTTAATCCCTGCGGTTCTGCCCGTGCTGTGAGCTGTGGTCCTTAAGTGGGGCTTGAAACCAAATTTGCTGTCAGTCTCTTCAGGGAATGTGACAGATACAAACTTAGAGACGTGGTGGGGGTGGGGATTAGCAAAAAGAGAGGGTCTTGGGAGGCCAATAAAAGATAACTGCTGCCTGTGAAATGTGAATTGGCGCTGTGTCCCTGGGTCTCATTGCTTCTGGGTAAGCACAGCTCAGGGAGTATAGCAAGCGGCACTATCCTGTCTCTGACTCCTTCACGGTAAAGATTGTTCAGGACGCTGGGATGCTTGATCATCCGAAGTCAGCGATTCCTGAGCAATCCTGTGACTTGCCTATTCCAAGGGGCAGCTCTTTCCCCCCGGAAAGTGATCGCCTGGAAGTGGAGCAGAGAGCGCTAGAGCCAGATTATGGCTTTGCGAGCCACTGGCTGTTGGCTAGGGCTAGTAGGAAAACGCAGGTAGTTCTTGAGCAGGGTGGAGCAAGGTGATATGCCTGTGCATGGTTTAGTGCCTCTAGGGGGCAGCACCTTGAGCAGCTGGTGTGGTGGGGCAGCTCGCATCTTGGCTCTTCCCTGCATCCTGCTCCCATTCATCCCTTACCCTAGGCCCCGCAAGAGGCTTTTGAACAGCAGCGGATCTGCAAGAGACAGAGGTGCTGCAGGGAGTGGTGTGGTAATCCAACAGGGGCACTCTTCCCTGGGCGGTTGGTGCAGAGCCAGCGCCCAAGCCTGGCAGGAGAGGGCATTGTGTTGAGAGAGGCCTTCTTCTGAATGTGACCTAAAACTGAAGCTGTGGCCGACTGGCCATTAACGATCCCATGGCAGCTTTTTGGTCAGATTCCCCTGGGATAACTATATCCAGCCTCCGTAAATCCCTCCTGCAGTGACGAGTGGGATCAGTATTCTGGTGTTATACTGTGTTAAACTCCCCGCCCCCCCAGAGAAGGCTGCAATTCAGTGAGGGGACAAAGCGCTCCCTGTGTGTCCTGTAGCAATGAGTGGCGCTTGAAGCGGTATCGACTCCCCTGCTCGTTCTTGCCCTCAGTGACGCTCATTCACGCGGTCATTCCCCTTCGTGGTGATGGCTCCCAGCGAGAGCGTCAGGGAAGCGGTGAAGGTGAAGCCTCGCTCATGGTGCCTGACAGGTCAGTTCCAGCCGAGCCCCGGAGCTAATGAAATCTGGGACTGCATAGCTTGCTCCTGCAGGAGGACTGTAACCTGTAGGGCAGCGTGTGGTAAGTGCCAGATTTAGGACTTTGTGGGGTTCTTCGTGATCCGGTGCTAGCTGGAAAGACGGTGAAGGAAACCTGGGCATGCGCTGGGCTCTGATTGCGAGGCTATAGGCGGTTATGCCATGTGAGCGTTATTAGTTACGTTACGGTAGTGCCCTGGAACCCCAGTCAAGGAGCAGGGCCCGCATTGTGTTAGGTGCTGTACAGGCAGGTAACACAGACAGTCCCTGCCCCAGAGACCCCATGGTCTTGGCGATTCTGCGCCCAGCCGATGCTGATGTCTGGCTGGACTCCTTTGGGATGGCTGCTGCTTTCGTGCTAGGCCTCAGCCAGTGTGGGAGCTGGTATGGCCTCGGGGGGAATACAAGGAGCTTGCATGCAGCGGCAGACGAGCACTGGCTGAACACATTGCATGCTGGGATACCACCATCCCCAGCTGGCAGGCAGCCCAGGGAATCTAGTGCCCAAGGACAAGGCGGTCCTGGCCCAGGCCCCACACTGTAGTGTAGCTAGCAGCTGGGAGGGCGTCTCCAGGCTCTCTCCGCCCTGTGCCTTCCCCCTCCCTAGAGCATGTACAGCCAGGGAAGAAACTGGCACTAGCCTGAAGCTGTGAGAGAGAGAGGCTGAGCCAGGCCAGTCTAGGAGGGGGAAGCGAAGCTCCAGGGGATACAAGCTCAGAAGGATCCTAATCAATCCTGCAAACGCCACTGGGTTTTGGGTCGATCCCTCCAGCGTTGCTGATGGTTTGAAGAGACGCAGCCTATGGCTTTCATTCCGAACGACACCCCAGGCTTGCTGGGGACTAGGATATCCATCCTCCGACCCACGTGCCGCTGCTTAGTCCGTTCACCGTAACTCTGTTTGCCTCTCGGCTTGCTAAAGTAAAGATGGTAGCGTCCTCTGCCCCGGGGAGGAAAGAGAGGATCTGCACAACAGCAGATGCCCAGCCTCACCGCCACACATGTCCCACTGCCTGGGATCCAGCCCTCATGCATCAGAACTGCAGTGGATCTACAGCACAGGCCCTCAGCAGCCAGCACCTAGGGTGAGAGCAGCCAGCGCTGCACCCTATAAACTAGGGCTGGTCAAGAATTTTCCCTCAAAACTTTTGTGACAGCAAAGTGGATATTCCGCTCAAGCTGAACGAGTTCCTTGGGGCTTTTCGACCAAAGGTCACCATTTTCTGTGAGAAAATTTCAAGAAACTCATTTGTTTTCATTTTTGGCAAAATGTTCCAGGCGCGGGACTATCCCATTTCCCGACCTGCTCTGCTACAACCATGTGGTCCTCATTGGGGTAGTCAGCTCTGTTGTCTGGTGCAGAAGGGCTGGGGTGGGGCGTTGGTGTCTCCGGCTCCATGCACTCTCCTTCTCCTTTGGAGCATGGTTGATCTTGTAGAACTCAAGTGGGCAAGAGGAGTGTGATTGTTAGGAGTGCACAGGGGAGCAGCATAGAGTGAAAAAATTCTGTCTGGACTAGGGTGACCAGATGTTAAGGGGAAAATATTGGGACTGCCGTAGGGGGAGCGTGGTTTTTTTTTTTTACACTCACCCATCTGGGAGTTCAGCAGCAATTTGGCAGAGAGCCCTTCAGTCGCGGACGGTCTTTGGTGGTATTTTGGCGGCGGCTAATAAACCTTGCCGCCAAAGACAGAAGCACCGTCCGCCACTGAAGGACTCACCGCCAAATTGCCGCCGAAGACCAGGAAACAAAATATCAGGACAAATGGTGTCTCGACCGTACTCTGGACAGGATGCGGGACAAACTCCTCAAAATCGGGACAGTCCCGATTTTATTGGGACGTCTGGTCACCCTAGTGTGGACCCCCTATCATACCCACCCACTGTAAGGCGACAGTTTGTCCCATGATGCTACGTTTAATTTTGTAAGCTGGGGACCCTTCCCTGTATATTTCCCCCTCTGGTGTATTTCAGCCCCTGTCTTATTCTTCTCTTCTCTTGCAGTGTGTGACGTGCGGGAAAGCATTTAAGAAACTCTGGTCTCTGCACGAACACAATAAAATTGTCCATGGCTACGCGGAGAAGAAGTTCTCCTGTGAAATCTGCGAGAAGAAATTCTACACCATGGCACATGTGCGGAAACACATGGTTGGTGAGTGCATGGGTGTTTGTGCTGGGGCTGCGGGGGCATCACGCTTAGTGGAGATGCAGTTTAACCCTATCCCTAGACTGCGCTGAAGAGGTTTCCCACATATCTCTTAAAAAACTGAAATTAGAGCTGGTCAAATGACAGATTTTTCAGTTCATTGGCAGTTCTGGAAAACGGGGAAAAATAGGTTCCAGTTGAATTAAATGTTTTATTAGACAAAATCAAACCATTTCAATTCTGACCATTTTTAATGTTTTTGAAATTTTTAAATAAAATTCCTTTCAAGCCAAAAAATTGAAACAGTTTGTTTAACAAATGTCTAAACAAAATGTTTTCATTTTTCTGAATTGCTTTCAAATGAACAATTCAGCGAAACTAACATGTGAATTCATGAAACGTTTGGGTGTTGTCAAACCTGCATTTTTGCTTGGCCGAAAAATTTCACCCTAAATGAAATGTATGTGTTCTCCGGAACTAGTTTATGGAGGAGATGGGAGACGGACGCTTTAGAGACAATGCTGTTTTCCTTTTGCTAATAAAGTTCCTTGTTGAGCGTTAAAAGAAAGCGACTCTTATGGTGAGTCTTTACCACTGGCAGGTTGTCGTTGTCACACTTTCAGGGTAACTGCACCTGTATTTTCCCTCTGAGATCCAGTTCAGGAGTGCCCAGTCTGGTCTCTGGCCTCCAGCCCTCACCTGTCTCTGGGTAGAAACCCTTGTCCCTCTCCCTTCTGACTGGCGGTTTATGGCTGCACAGCTCCCTGCCACACCCTATGGTATCTCCAGCAGCCCTGACAGACACCTAGCCCCCTGCTCTTTAGTTTCTCTCCAAAGACAATGACAAGGTTTTTTTACCGGTGACCACACAGCTCTTCCAAAGGTCCTGTCCCTTTGCTGAATCAAAAGGAAGCCTATTTAAACTCAACCTTTTATACCCGAAGTCTTGCTTTGTCTCCCAGCCTCCTGAAAACGGGTAAAATCAGTCGCTCCCCCAGTGCCCCAGGAGCTCAAGCTTCAAAGACTGGGAATCTACATAGCCAGCCTTGAGATTTTGCATAAATCACCCTCTGGTAATTCCATATTCCGCAGGAAACCAACTCAACAAGCCAAGAACACTCAAATACACGTCGCCCGTATTGGTGCAGAGGGCTATGAATAGTCTACAGCTCATACTGTTTGGTCCGTCTCGAAAGAATGGCTTTTTGAGGTTTTCCTGATTTAAACATAAAATACAATATGCCCGCCCCAAAGATGCTGCATATAGTTGCAATATCTGTCACAGGTCTCAAGTGGCTTGTGACAGAATTTAAGTGTGGGTCTGCTCAGAAAAGGGACTATATAAAAATGACCCTTTCTTTTCAATGGCTTTCCATCAGGGTCAGAGGAAACTGCGGCAGGTCGAGCTTTTGGTGCTTGTTAGCCCTGCAGAACCAACACAGCTATGGGAGGGTGTGCTAGGGTCTCTTCCTCCTTGTGCATGATCGACAGGATTGTTAATTAAGTTACGTGGTCAGAGGCTGCTCTTTAGTTATTGAGGACAGTGGGGCTTGAAAGGCGTAAGAGCAGGCAACATGTGGCCTGCTGGTTATATGCATGAGAAGGAAAGACTCCAGCTGGACTCTGAGATCCCAGGATGAGTTTGCAGAGCTGTTGGTTAGGGAAAAGCCTCTCTTTACTGAGGAAGTTTCACCTGGATTTATTGAAAGACGGTAGTTCCTACTCTTTATTAAAGAGAAACAAAATAGGAGACAGCACCATTTTTTTGTTTCAAAATATTAAGAGAGGGTGATAAATGCAAAAGTTCAGAGAATGCACTGGCGGCTAGGCAGCGCGGCCAGTGAGTGACGAGAGGTGTGTGTATTGTTTCATAAAAGTTATCGCTGTTTATTTAAAATCACTTCATGCCATTTGCCCCGTCTTTCCCGAGCTAGCTCAGCTGTTAATCTAACACAGACTTTAAGTAGCTTCGTTTCTCATTCATTCCCATGGCAGCCCTCTGAGGTACAAAGTGCGGATCGCCTTATTTTGGCGTGTCAGCGATGGGCTCCGTCTGGAGGGAGCGCCGGGGCGTTCTCGCTATTACGGTCACTTTGTATCACCTTCCCCTTCAAGTCTTATTGCCTTTTTGTCTTCATTTGTAGCTCACACCAAGGATATGCCGTTCACATGTGAGACGTGTGGGAAATCGTTCAAACGCAGCATGTCCCTGAAAGTCCATTCTCTTCAGCACTCCGGGGAAAAGCCTTTTAAATGTGAGGTAAGAGAAGAAATTCTGCAGACACCCCCGCCGCAAAAAAAATCCCTCCCCCCACACCTTCAACATGGTGAGTCACCTGCTTTCTGCTTGGGACTTCAGTCTCAAATTAGCACACACTCATGCCCGGCCCCCAGCACAAGCCCTTCTGCATCTGAACCCTTTCGTGCTAATTGCTTCCATTTCCTGTAACCCAGAGGATCTTTCTGTCGTCCAAGCATTGCCATATGCTTTACAAAGGCTAATTTAGCCTTCCCTAAGGCCTTTAGGAAGGAGATAATACCTAACGAACCAGCTAGTCATCACCAGGGATCCTAGTTTTCCGTGGTTAAACCCCCCCCACCCCCCGAAATTCTGTAATTAAAAAGAACCCATACATATCCAGGTTTTCCCGCGCTTGAAATGAAATCTGATGGCCTGAGCCCCGCCGTCCGGGGTTGACGGCCCAAGCCCCGTCAGAGTCTCTGTAAAAATGCAAATTCCGTGTTTTTCCGCAGCAAACGGATTTCGAGGATCCTTGCTGATCACTAGTGTGAGTGTTCATCAGTGCCCCCTTTTGGGTGTAATTTGAATAGCCAACAGTCTCCTCCTAGCCCAGGTAAGCTGTGCTTCTGGAGCAGAGCTCTGTCCCCCGTGGTCTCTGTGGATGGCCGCTCTTGCCACCAGTAGCCATAGCGGGCAGCAGACTAGTTACATTAGTACTGTGCTCATTTTGCAGGCAGGGAAACTGAGGTCTTAGAGATTCTGACTTGCCCAGACTCTCATGAGTAAATAGCCAGGCTGGGGAAGGAGCCCAAGAGTCCTAGCTCTCAGTACTACATCTTACCCACAACCCCATTACTTCTGTCTGCTACCAGCTTTCACTCATTGTCCTGCGGAGCAAGTTAAGGGCTTAAGCCAACCTGTAACTATCGGGGATCAGGAAGAAACTGTCCCAAGGAGCAGGTTATCCCATAAAGTACCTATCTGAACCACCCTCTGAAGCAGCTGGTGCTGGTCACTGTTGGAGACAGGATACTGGACTAGATGGACCATGAGTCTGATCCAGCGCGGCAATTCCTGTGTTTCGTGGAGGAAAGCAGCGGGATGGCTTGGGGACTGGCATTGAGATAGAGGTTTACACCTCCCAGGTCACCAATCCACAACCGCTGGCTCTTTTATGAGGGATCTCAGCCCAGTTCTTATTGGACAGGCATCCATGCCACAAAATCAGCACCGCAACTGGCACTAGTTGCTACCCTCAGTGAATATAGTGTATTTAGATTTTTAGAAAGCCTTTGACAAGGTCCCTGACCAAAGGCTCTTAAGCAAAGTAAGCAGGCATGGGATAAGAGGGAAGGTCCTCTCATGGATTGGTAACTGGTTAAAAGATAGGAAACAAAGGGTAAGAATAAATGGTCAGTTTTCAGAATGGAAAGAGGTAAATAATGGTGTCCCCTAGGGGTCTGTTCTGGGACCAGTCCTGTCCAATACACCTCTACCCCGATATAGCTCTTTATGCTTAACAATCTGCTCCACCTTATACTTAACTGTGACGCTCTGAGAATGTTTCCCAGACCCGAAGAAGAGCTCTGTGGAGATTGAAAGCATGTCTCTCTCACCAACAGATGTTGGGCCAATAAAAGATATGACCTCACCCACCTTCTCTCTCTCTCACTTCAAGGTAGATACAGTGCAGTCCATGCCATGGACAGCATTGAGGTCTCTCTAGGACGAGACCCAATATCTGTGCTTCCATCTGCACCACTCAGACACTAACAATCCCATGATTCTTTTCATAAGAGGAGGATTTTGATCTGTTGTCCTTGGGCAATATGTGTCCCCTTCCCATTGCTGGCATCATGCATCTGGGAGCTGGCTCTTGCTGATCACCCTGGCCTAGAGTACAGTAGCTTGCTATCAATCCAGATCTTCAGATGGTGTAAGTCAGCATAACTCTATAGAAGTCAATGGGGCTAGGCTGATTCACAGCAGCTGGAGTTGGCCCATAGTGTGTAAAGTGTTCCTGGATCTTCTGGGATGCAGTGAACAATGTTATCATTAGAGGGGGGGGGTCAACATTTTTCCATCAGAAAATGCTCTTTTGTCAACGTGGAAATGTTTCCTGGGATTTTGATGAAATTCACAATGCAAAAGTTTCCTAACAATTTGTGTACATGTTCTTGTTTCCGTAACTTTATATTTTTATATTATAATCATGTTATTGTTACGTATGTTAAATAATAATTTTGACATTATTGAAACATTTTGTTTTGATGTTTCCAAATCAAACCCTTTTGGAATTTCTGTTCCATAAAATATTCGACTTTTCGTCCTGAGGTGGGTTGAAATGTTGAACTTTCGTCTGGGATAGAAATTCTGTTTCCTGACCAGCTCTAATCCTGACCTACTATTAATGCGCTTACTCTGCAACTTTATGATGTGAATATAGTATGAAAAAAAATTGCGTGATAGTTTTTCAGCAAATTCCTGAGGCAAAGTGTATCAATTTAATTCTTTGCTTTTATTTTGTTTATTTTATTTTTGTTGTTTAGAGCTCAAGAAATGTTTTTTAACTAGTCCTGCAGATTAAAATACTTTTAGAATTGGTGATGAGTTGGTAAGTAGTTGTTCTAGTGAAAAGGATGTAAAGTGCTAGGTTACCTGTTGAATGTTCCCCCGTCACCGCCCTGGACTGCTTGTCCTCTCAGCCATTTACTGTCTGCACACCCACCACCTCTTCCTCTCCTGTAAGGGAAGACTTGGTGTGCGCTTCAGATAACAACTTTGTTCTGTGAGGCACCATGTAGGACACTGAAGATAAAATCTGTTTTTCCTAAATTAGACAAGCTTTTAGTTCAGCCCAAGAGGGATTCTTTCTGGGAAGCTGGAGCTCTTTCAGGATTTAGTGCAATATGCATGGCTGAATTATTATTTGATCTATTAATCCTCAAGTCTTTAGGAGAGGTCTTAATAAAAACCGAGCAAGGGCTTAATAAAAGTTGAGTAAAGGCATTAGGGTTTGGCCCCTAATCATAAGCCTAGTTATTTGGAATGTCTCATGATAACGTTGAGTTCATATCTAGGAGTCATTATTCTGCCACTGACTCCTTGTGAACCTTGGGCAAGTCACTTAACCTCTCAGAGCCTCAGTTTTCCCTCTGTAAAACAGAGTTCGCTATCCATGACTGAGCTTGAACGAGCGAGAGACTGCTGCAGCTGAAAACCCTCTCTGCTCCTGTTCCGGGCTACTGCTGTTCAGCCACCCGCCTTTGTCTCTCACTTCATCCTCTCCCTTCCAGAACTGCAACGAGCGATTCCAATACAAGTACCAGCTGCGCTCTCACATGAGCATCCACATCGGACACAAGCAGTTCATGTGCCAGTGGTGCGGGAAGGACTTCAACATGAAACAGTATTTCGATGAGCACATGAAAACGCACACGGGTGAGAACTCTCCCGACGTCCAGTTTCCTCACCCCCAGCTACCAGGCATCGGGGGCACCCTGCTTTAGCTTCTGCCTCCCCCGAGAACCTCTGGGGATGTGGAGCAGGGAATATCTCTGCTGCTCCCCTTCCGCCCCCCCATTCTGGTGTGTCGGGGCAGGTTCTGTTCTGCGACGGGCTGTTCATTGGTGCCTGGATAATAATGGGATGGGAGCATTAGCGATGCCTAGGAGCTATAGCTGATGAGATGTATAGCCCTGCTGCTCCATTGAAGGGCTGGGTGATTGTGAGCTGGCCCAGTGCAAATCTGGCTCGAGGTGGGAGATGGAGTTTGGGATTACTGGTCCCCACCCTATTGAGGGGAGGAACTCACCGGGGAGGGAGCTCCCCAGTCTGGACTCTGTTGGTGAGCTGGGAATGGCATTGATGGGTTTGGAAGGAACTCCAGCACTTCTGAGCTAAGTGGGGGAGGCTATGGGTGGGGAGGGCCAAGCTGGCGAGATGGGCACCCCGAGCAGCGGTGGGAGCGGTCCCTAAACCAGCCATCTCCTCGTCCCCCAGGTGAGAAGCCCTACATCTGCGAGATCTGCGGCAAGAGCTTCACCAGCCGCCCCAACATGAAGCGCCACCGCCGGACCCACACGGGAGAAAAGCCCTACCCCTGCGACGTGTGCGGCCAGCGTTTCCGCTTCTCCAACATGCTCAAGGCCCACAAGGAGAAGTGCTTCCGGGTCAGCAACCCCCTGGCTTCGGACACCACCAACCCCGCCAACAACGGCGGCGGCCTCTCCGCTCCCCAGGGTGCCCCCTCGCCTCACTCACTCAGTTTGCCGCTGCTCCACCCCCTCCCCCCTCCTCCTCACCTACCGCCACCGCCTCCCCTGTTCCCAGCCGGGCGGGTCAATTCGAACAACTAGGCCAGCGTGCGCACGGACTGCTCTGCCACGCAGGGAGTGCCCAGTGGGCTGCTCGGTCGCGTGACGCGGGGAGAAGGAGGGAGGCGGTTAATTCTCTCTCTTTCGATTTTTTACCCTCCCTTGGTTTTATGATGAGCCCGTCAGCCTTCTGGCGAAAGGACAGGGGCTCTGGGCCACAGCAAGCTCCCAGGCAGCGTGGCGTGCCGGCGTTCAATCAGGGTGTAGACAAACGGCTCTTCTTTCCCTCCTCGTTCCATGGCTTTAGCGTTTCCCAAGCCCCGGTCAGACTCATCCTCTCGCCTCACTAGGCATTGTTGCTGAACTGGTTTACCTCTGCCGCCTAGTGCACTATTGTATCAGGGTAACCCTTGCCACAATGTCTTCCCGCTTGCACGTGTTCCTCCATGTGCCGTGCGAGTACGTTAGACTAACGAAGTGCACAGCTCAGCTCAGCCCCATCGAGCCATTTCCACTAGTTCCTCACGGCAGCAGTAAGGGGGTTCTTAGGTGTTTTTGTCTCATGAGGCAGCACTTTTAGCTTTGCCGGTGGCTATTAGTCAGGAACTTGTCCGCGATGCATCCTGTGCAAAATGTTTAATCAGGGTTGCGCCCCTCTTTAGTATGCCACTGAAACCACCTGAAAAGACTACATGTCCCAGCATGCAGTGCTGTTCCGAATGGCTTTCTGCTGGGCGAAGGAAGGAACATAGCATGCTGGGAGCTGTAGTCTTTGCAGGCTGTGGTAGAGATAAGGGTTGCCACATTGCACACTTTGGGACTGTGCTGCTGTCAGAGGTGTCACTGCGGCACCTGTAGACGTACCTGAGCTAGCTTTAATCTAGCTAGCTTGAAGAACATTTGCACTGAAACTGCAGCGGCATGAGCCATGCACACCCATCCAGGGTCTTGGCTACGTACTCGAACAGCTAGTCTGTACTGCCGTAGCGTCACTGCTGTTGTTATTTGAGCTAGCTAGATCAAAGCTAGCCTTTGGCATGTCTACATGTGCTGCCATCACACCCCTCTGATTGCAGCATAGACCAACCCTTTGGTAACCCTGCTCTAGCCACCATAATGGGTGTTTCAGCCCAAATCATCATTCTCTGGGAAAACTGCACAAGACATGGGCACACAGAGATGCAAGGATGCACGGGAGCTAGAATCCCTGTGAGACTGCCTATTTCACATAGTGAGTCAGCCGCAGGAACAGTCACAAGGAAAGGCAGAGATGCTATGTTATTCTGTGCATGGTGGAGGGGGATTTCTAAGTGACACAGGCTACGAAAGCAAAGGATGGTAATATTTCATGGCAGCTACACAGATTAGAGGTAGTGGCTGTTATATGTAATCTAGCATATTTGTGCTTGAGCCCGTCCCTCGTCCTGAAAGGCTGGTACTGCAGGAGAGATCTTTCAATGAGTTCACCACTTCATGACAGGAATCCCCTGGTCATGGCTGAAATCCAAGCCAGGTTAGGGAGGATGAGACGTTACCACTCTCTGGCATCTCCAGTGGCCCACATGACATAGAATCATAGAATATCAGGGTTGGAAGGGACCTCAGGAGGTCATCTAGTCCAACCCCCTGCTCAAAGCAGGACCAATTCCCAACTAAGTTATGAGTTAGGGGGCTGTGTATTAGTGGACAGAGGCCCACGTCTCAAAACCCACCATCACAGCCTGCTCTTGTTAGCAGCCCTTGTTATGTCTTCCTTCCCAACTGGGATTCCAAACCTCCCGTCCCCTTCCCCTGCAATTTGTTAGACTAAAGCCCCAACCCAGACAGCTGGGTTTAACGAAAGGATTCACTAGCTCGATATGATTTTTTCCCCAAAGGGGCTCAGACCCATGATAAAATCCCAGCTCCGATGCTAGAAATGAGCCCCGTGTTTCTAGGAAATGGGCTGGAGCTGTGTGGGGGCTCCGATGGTGGAGCTGGAGCATTCCCATGGTGAGCTCACCGTTGGTCTTTAGACGAAAAAGCAGGTTGGAAAGTCGTTCCACTCCAGCCTGAATGGCGCAGCAGGATCTAGTCCTAGGCTGGACTTCCCTGGAAGTTACTTGTCGTAATAGTGCCTTACAGTTATTGAAAGTAAGCTCCCCAGTGTGTGCTCGGGAGTCTGGTTAGCCTGAAGGCTGCACGCCAGCTCCGATAACCTGCCCGTAGTACCAAGGAAGGGCAGTGGTTCGTCTCCTTTTCCTCCTTTCGTGTCTCATGTCCCCCCAGCCCTAGTACTTTACTCTCCTTTAGGAGTCCAGTTTTGCCTTCAGTCACAGCACAGTGAGCCTTTGTACAGAGGGAGTGCATTTGAGGGCTTTAGCATGGAGTTGGCTACTAGAATTCAGTGGCCCTCTAGCCAGAGGCTGCCTTATTGATGAAGGGGCCTGGCAAGAAGGACAAGCACCTTATAAAATGTTGCAAGCCCATGTGAGCTTCAGGTCCGGCAAATTTAACTCCCTCACCTGGCTCCGTGGTACTACTTATAGATTCATAGATTATAGGACTGGAAGGGACCTCGAGAGGTCATCGAGTCCAGTCCCCTGCCCGCATGGCAGGACCAAATATTGTCTAGACTTGACTGATGTGGGGTTGTGCCACGTTACTTAGAGTGCTATTTCAGACTAGGGAAGTCCTTTTTGCATTTGCCTCTGGCGGGGGATAGCTCAGGTCACTGAAGTGCAGCAGAACAGTACCCATCCCGGCCTCTGCTGGCTGTCTGAAGCGGCATCATGTAGGTGGGCTTTTCTGTCTCTTACACTGGCAACGCTCATCTTGCATTTCACTTATTAAGGTCTGTTTCACACTAGTGGAGTACAGCTTATAACCCTGATGTCATGTGGCTGGCACGGGCCATGGTCAGGGAATGGCAGCTCATTTAGGCCCTGTCTAGAATGGCTTTTTTGTTACCTCCCATGGCCTGAAATGGGGCTTGCACTTATGTGACTTACCCTAGGAAAAGCCCCGTTTTGCAGCAGTGTACTTTAGAAGGTTGCAACGGTGTAACCACACTGATGTAATTCCCCTAGTCTAGAGGCTTTCCCTAGTCCAAACAAGCCCTCAAGGCTAGATCCTTCAATACTCTAAGCACCTCCTAGGAGGCACCTTCAACTCCCATTGGTGTGTGTGGGGTGTTTTGCACTGCTCTAAGAGCTGCTCGGCACCTTGCAGAGTGGCAGAAGGCAATGCTGCCTGAGGTCGTTTTATTGCCCCTTATGTATCTCCTTCTGGTCCCAATGTGTGGTGGAGCAGGATCTAGGAGAAAAGGCTATACTGAAATATATTGGCCACATTCATAGTTGGCAATGCGAGCACTGCCACTGGGATATGAAAAAGGGAAGCAGGACGGAGAAGACACACGTAGTCAGCTGAAGAAGCCCGTTCTCGTTAGCAATTTGTTCTGTTGGCTTTATAGCTTCAGTCGAGACACCTACATGTGTGGAGATTCTGAGCTGCGGCTGGCTAAGGCAGAAGCTGCAACGGCGTGTCTTAATAGCCCCAACTCATCAAAGCATTTAACACGTGCAGGCGGCCATCTTTATTTAACGGCCATGTGTTTAAGCCTCACTGAAGTCAACGGGATTTAACCATGTGCTTAAAGTTAAGCGTGAGCTTAAGTGCATTGCTGACTAGGGCTAGACTGCTGACTCGTGACTTTAATGACTGATTCACTTCGCTCCTGCTTGGCACACCGGGTGCACGTCCAGTGCTGCCCCCCCCCCACATCTGGCACCTCCTCGTTAGAGCACCAACTGGCATTGAAAGGCACATCACTTTTCACATCCATTGACCCCTTCTCTCGCCTGTGTCAGCCACAGCCTCTATACTGCAATCAGTTAACGTCTTGTATTGCAGATTCTGTGCTCGCAGACAGTCTGGTTCGGCTTCATGCGAAGTGAAGCGGCTGCTGAATGGGCTGCCGGTATGGCTGTGAGCACCTCAGATCAGTGGCAGATATCCCATGGGACAGGGTGTCCTACTCAGCTGCTTCCACAGGTCCAGCATCCTGTGTGTTATTAGGACTGTCCAGCATCTTTTAGATATCACATGTGTCTGCAAGGAGACCTGATGTCTCAAGAGCTTGGCAAAGAGCTAGAGGCCCTAGAGACCCTCATTTATGTCACTGGTGTGAACCCAACCCAAGTTGGTCATGACTGGAAGGTCTTACCCCCTGAGGATGGCCGACCGAAGGCCTATGCCATGGGGGGGTCTCATCCCATGTCATTAAAAGCCACCTCCATCGTTGTCCCTCTTGCCTAGCCCCTGGGGCAGACTCTACAGAGGTCATGGAAAGAAGGGGCCATGCACACCGATTTCCCCTGCCACTCCTACTCTTCCAAGTCAGGGTTGAGGCAGGTTAGCAGGGCGCCATGAGGATAGGTAGCACTGCCCGTAATGCGGCTGTTCCATGGCCAGAAAATGTCAACCTCCAGGGCTGAGAAACTGGTCCCGTTCCCCAGCACTGAATCTCCTCCCACAAACGCGCGCTTCCCAAAAAGGAAAGTCATTGATTGCCTAGAATCCAATCGGAATCGCTCACTTCTTCCCCACCCTGCTGCAATTTCTCAGTGTGCCTGTCTCAGGGGCCTGTTCTTCCTCACAGACTGGGGTAAATCCAGTGGGATGCCTTCTGTGTACGCAAAACGTGCATTGCATGCACAACCGGCTGGGCACAACCCCCTGGAGGACCCCATTCTGTAGAACAAAATGGCATCCTCCAGCCAGCCTGCCCTCGCATGCGCCGCACATGCAAGGTCACGGTGCATGGAGGACACTATTTTGGATTGCCTAAGATGCGCAGGTGAGTTGTTGCGTGTCTTGCTAAAGCTGCCACAGCGCGCCACAAGGGGACCTGGCTGTGACCCCACTAAAGCCAGCGTTAAACAGGTATAAGCGGGAGGAGAATCCAGCCACTTGGTGATATGGGCAGACACAGGTGCATAAAGAACCCATCCACGCCTGTTTGCCCATTTGGATTCATTTTAAAATGTTGCCCAGAGAGCAGCCTGGAGACAGCAGAGCAGGGCATGCACACGAACACTTAGAGAGCCAGATCCCTGGGACTCCAAGGCCAGGATGGAGAGACACCTCCCGGACTCCTGCGCCATCTCTGAACCCTTTTGTCTACACCCTTATTGAGTCTAAATGTGTTGATTTGGGTATTTTTGTGACCGTACCAAGAGCTGAAGCGAATGGCTCCAGAAGCGTATTGGCCCATGTTCGTCCCTGGTAGAACTCCTACAAAGCCTCTTGAGTTCGACCAAGGGAGAAATTCGGCCTATTGTTTTCAATCTTTTTATTATTTGAATTCTTGCACCTTAACCCCTCGCATCCCTCCTTCAATGCGCCACGAGTCTGAGAGGGGCTTCATTTCCACTAGCAGTTAATGAACATTCAGCAAACAACTCTGCACACACACACCTGCCCACTCTCCCAGCCTCATTTTCTTGGGTTGAACCTGCAGGGAGGGGGCGATGGTGGGGATGGTCTTTGTTTTCAATTTCCCAGGAACCTGGTAGCCCAGACCGGTTTGCCTCATAGTGTTCATAAAGCAGGGCTGGCCCCCTGGCCGACAGCCATAACGAGAACGCAGCCAGAGGGGTGACAGACTGAGATGGCTGTGACGCAGTGCAATAGCTAATTGGCATCAGCTGCTGGACAACCTTGATTTTTAACTCTTTACAGACAGACACCTTTGGTCCACATGGATGGAAGCAGCGTTCCACCACAGCCCTGCCTAGAGACACATCATCCATGAAGGGAAGGGGTGGGTAGAACCTAATAAAAGAACAACCTCAGTAGCATGGAACTTGAAGGAAACAAACTAACAGAAAAAGAAACACAAGCACTTCACTTGCCTCAAACTAGTTTCTAATGCCTGACGTTTGGCTGTGTATTATTTTATGGCATTCAGTATCTGTTGCCCAAACATGCCAAGTAAAGAGTGTATCGGTGGCTCTACTAGTTGTGAACAAAATAAATGAAGCACTTTATTCTGTGTAGATACGGGGAAGGGGGTCGGGGGAGTTCAGATGCTTTCCAAAAGCATCTTAAGTAATGTTCTAGGAAATGTATTATTACTACTTTTTTTTTTAATGACCATGTGTAATCAATATATGTTTATCTTTAACTCCAAGTACGGTAGCACTCTCTTTGGGATGGTCTGATGTCCGGGGAGGGTGGGAAAGCAAGGTTATCCTCTCTCATGTTGGAGGAGATCATGATGGCCATTGGAAGAGCGCCAGCATCTACCGCAGGCGCATGCCAATATGGCTTAGCTGAGAGCCACAAGGGCAAGTTGTTGGGAACCGCCAAGGGTTGCACCAAATTGCCTTAAATGGAGCAGATCGCAACTGCCTGTCACACTGGAGGGAGACCTGTGGAGAAGACCCCAGTGTGCATTTCCAGCCAGGTGGTCTTTTGTTCAGATTGAGGTGCACCACCGCGTTCTGATAGCTGCCAGCTGGTCAGGAGGAATTGCGCATCTCCATGGGCTGAATTTTTGGTCACTTTTGAGACCTGATTTTGACCTCCCACCAGGGCAAATGGGGAGTAAACCCATTGACGTCAACAGTGTCGTACTGGTGTGTGAGATCAGAATCAGGCCCTTGGGTCTACGTCCTACCAGCACAGTAATATTCTGACTGTTATCAAAGAGGTTGCAAGCGGAAGACCTGAACCAATAAATGATCTGCCTTTTATAAAAGGAAACATTAGCTGTCATTCAAGCCCATCACTTTCGCTCTCTTGCCCCCTTTTCAGGAAGCCCTGTGGTGGAGAGGGGCTCTGGAGGACTGGCCCATTTGGTACTTTGTGGCCCAATCCTGCTGTTCCCACATCAGAACTTCTGGGTCGGGCCCTGTAAGAATAGTGTGTAATTCTAGCTGGTGGCCTGAGAGAGAAGGAGACATGCAAACATATTTTTCTGGGGCCTTATTGGAAGTGGCTGTTGAGGGGGACAGTGGGTGGAGTTGTACTAACGGGGCCGGCACATTGCTGAATGGCTTCATTTTTTGTCTCCGTGTGCCGCTGTAACTGGAATCGTGTCGGAGCTGGAAAGTGAGACCAGGCAGGTTATTTAATCTGCCCATCCAGCCAGCGAGTCAGAATGTCCCTATTTGAATAACGGCATTGGCCTTACCCAGCCTGTTGGTACCAGGAACCTAGCACCTCTGGGGAGAATGCACATGTTGTGAATATTTTTTGAGCCATGTCCTCAGCTGGCGATGCAAAGAAGCATAATTCCATTAACTTATAAAAAATATATGTGGAGATATACCTATCGCATAGAGCTGGAAGGGACACTGAAAGGTCATTGAGTCCAGCCCCCTGCCTTCACTAGCAGGACAAGTACTGATTTAGCCCCAGATCCCTAAGTGGCCCCATCAAGGATTGAACTCACAATGCTGGGTTTAGCAGGCCAATGCTCAAACCACTGAGCTATCCCTCCACTTCAGTGGAGCTACCTTGGCTTCCACCAGCTGAGGATCTGGCCCTCTTATCTATAAGAATTTCTTTTCTTTTTGGGAGGGGCGGGGGGCAGGACTGATTCCTTAGCTGAAAAGCTCTAGTCTCCTTTATGGCCCCTGGCCCTGACTCCTGGACTGAATTTAAAGAGCAAGGGAATCTGCTCGGCACTCAGCAGCAATTTCCATTGTAGGACAGAATTACAGGGTGAGCAGATGAGGCTGCTGAAGCTGTCTTACTCGGTGATTCTCGAGCAGTGATCCAGGGACCACTGGTGAGCCAAAGAACCATGGGATGAAATATTTTGGGAACCAAGTGGTGTGGAATTGACTGGCTCTGGATGTCACTCAAAACATCTGGTTCTGATTAAATGATCTTTGGTATCCCAATGCCAGAAAAGTGCTGGTGGGAATTAACCCTCTTCTAAGGAAAAAAGTATTGCAAAGAGATCTACTTAATATCATGTACCAGGCTTGATCTAAGCTAATAGCATGGGGAAGGGGAAGGAGATTGGCTTGACTGGCCCACAAATAGCTCTTACTAATGGAGTCTGATTCTCAGTTATCTTTTGTTTTTTTTCTCTGCCAATTATAGCTGCGTTAAGTACTCCCCTGTTTATGTTGGAGCCTCTCACAGCTTGTGTTAATGTATACTTCAACATGTGTTTGGATCCACCAAGGCATGGGGACCCCAGATGGGATTAAAGGCTTTTTTTCTGAATGGAAACAGACTCACCTGGGCTGGGAACGGCAGGAGGAAGCCAAGACTTGATGCTGCACCGGAATGCAGCTGAGACAGAGACCAAGAACGTCGGTCATTGAAAAGAGTGTATCTGTGTATGGCAGGTGGAGATATTCTCTAGACACAACCTTGCCTTCTGGGATTAGCAGTGTGTGTGAGAGAAGGAGTGCCTGCACTATGTCTTGTCATGCTGTCTTTGACTGTAGCTTTGTGAGTTTTTGATGGTTTCTGTGTAGACCACCTGTACCACCAGAGGAAGCCTCAAGTGAACCACCACAGCCAAAAGCATGGGATGCATATTGCAGAAAGTGGCTGGGCGTTGGTTGGAATCCAGCTGTCCCAGCAGGAAACTTGGGATCCTGTGTTCTACATGCACCTCTAGCCCCACTCTGGAATGGATTTGCACATGGGCTCATGTGGCAGGGTTTCTTGGAGGAGGTATGTGAAGATCTTTTGGCCTTGGCTGAAGACAATCTGTTTGAGATGAAGTGGCTTGGGAGAATGTGAGGAATTTTTGGTAACACTTAGAAATTGCACCTTTTGCACAGCTGGTAAAGAAATGACCTGAGAATGCCAGTGATTCTAGAATTTGCTAGTGCTTCAACGGTTTGTCCCTGTGAATATATGTTCTTAAGCTATTTCCATGGAAAAGCCCTATAGAATTGAATGGAGAATTCTATCTGTGCTTATAGGACTGATTAAACGTAACCTTCAGGAAGGACCTCGCTGTCCATTAAAATCTATAGGATTTCAAAGTTGTTTCTATAGACCTACTGATATCTGCCTTAGTACATTCCATAGGACTTTCCCACGAGTGGCCCCTTAGCAGGACGTTGCTGAATGTTTTGGGTGGTATTCAGGACTGTTCTGCTCTTTGGAGAACTAGAATAGCTGAAAGTTCCATAACGCAGAATACTCCTGACCCCCTCCGGTGTTGAACAGAGGCTGCCTCTTCCAGCTGATGGGACATATTTAGGAAGAGAAAGTCCGCTTCGCAGCCATTGCTGTGTTCCCTTTTGTTACGTTTGAGGACCGGGAAAGTTGTTCAGTTACATCTGAGCTTTCTTGATCAGAGCCATTGAGCATCTCTCCCGGACGGCATTCCAGATTTCTAAGTATCGCCTTGGTGGGGTGGAGAAGGTGCCTTGTTTGTGCTCCAGGCTGTGGGAAAGAGTCACCGGGAGTCACGGCCCCAAGAGATTAGCATGTGAGCTGCATGCTAGGCCTCAGTTCTGTCCCGGGGATGTGGATTGTGGAGGCTCTTATGAACTAAGGACCTCATCTGATGCCTGTTGAAGTCAATGGGAGTCATTCCGTTAATGTCAGTGGGTGATGGACAATGCTTGAAAGGCCTCATCCTTCAGCCATTGCTAAAGCACAGTAGTATCATCTCACTGGGCCTCGTTCGGCCACTTTTACCCTGCTCCACGCCTCGTCTCGTTGATTTCAGAGTCAGGTATCTGCATGAGCACAGGTAGGAAAACTGGGCCACTGACTTTGATGTAGTGTTCACACTAGTAAGAACTATGCTCAGCAGTTTTCAGGAGGCCTGTGTGCAATTCCCAGCTGGGCATTGCGGGTTCCAATGTGTGACCTTTACATTGGACGCTTCTTTGCCGTGCAATCTGTTCTGGAAGTGGTCATTTGTCATGGGCACAGCGGCAGTTCTGAATGGGTAACCGAGGAGAAGGGGCTGCCTTTTCCTCCTTGGGGAACGATCCAGTACGTGCGATAAGGGTTATGTCAACAACCAAATGGGATAAGTGCAGAAAATTCTGGGTCTACTTCGTGGAGTCACTACACTGAAATCAATGGAGTTACTCACTGGAGCTGAGAATCAGACCCACTAACTCTGGGACAGTGATGGGGGAACAATGTTGGGATGGTCTCTAATCCATTTATCATATTGGTTGGCTTGTGGGTGCTTCATGTGACTCTCCCCCACATATTACTTATGTTAACTCTTTCCTATCAGTAGAGTTGCTATTGAGGGGTACGTGTTAATTGTGACGCTAACTGGTGGCCTCTGATCATCTGTTTGTATATAGACAGCATCACAGTGATGGTTCGCATGTATGTGTAACCTCCAACATAAGGAGCTAAATATATATTTATACCTTATCACCAACAGACTGGTTTTGAGAGCCCAGCAATAAAAATGAGTGGTTGTGTCCAAATCCCCCCACAGCTGCAGGTGCTATTCTGCTATCGCAGGAAATGATTGATTGATTGATTTGATTTTATGCCATGCACAGGAATTTTTCTTTCCTGCCAGGAAGCTATTGTATATGTGATGTTTCTTCTCTGGTTAGCTTTGGAAGTCTTCTGTGTCCTCTATGGAAAAGTCCTGTAGAATTTAATAGAAATTAACCTTTCTGTAAATTTTATTGTTAACCATCCTGTAACATTTTAAAAGACCCAGTCAGCTTGGGTTTGTTTGTTTTTTAATTTGTTTTAAAAATGTTTGTTTTTCTGATTTGATTTTCCTTTAAGTAGACTGTCGGGTAATGTTTTAAGGATGTCCTTAGAAGAAAATCAGGGAGCGGGTGCTGATACATTAACCCATGCTGAGTATAGGGTGACCAGATGTGCCGATTTTATAGGGACAGTCCTGATTTTGGGGTCTTTTTCTTATATAGGCTCCTATTGCCCCCTACCCCCTGTCCTGATTTTTCACATTTGCTGTCTGGTCACCCTAGCTGAGTAGTATCTTATTCCATAGGTAGCCCCACTGATTTCAAAGAGATTATATCTGGACTAAGATACTCAGTGTTGCCAACTCTTTTGGTTTTTATCACGAACCCCGTGATATTTGTTTGTTTTTTTTGTTTTGTTTTTAAAGTCTTTGATCCCACTGTCATGATTGTGAGAATCTTCCTCTTGCTTCTAATGTATTTGTAGAACGTTTTCTTGTTACCCTTTCAGTCATCACGGGAAAGGAGGGCTTTAAGAAGATAATGAGTTAGTTTTGCAGATGTTTATGGGGAGCTCCTCCCAAGCATGAGGGCAGCATAAAAGAAAGTGTGAAAGTGCTTGTTTGAAATACAACACGTAGCCAATGGAGGATGACATGGGCCGATCAGAGGTGGGAGCTGACCTATTGATACTGAATCAGAGATAGTAGATTAGGTGTTACCTATAAAAGTAGTTGGTACCACGTTTTCAAAAAGAACTTAATTTTCTGAGTTGAAGTTTCCCCCGTAACATAAATGAGACCCTTGCTGTAGGCTGGGTTTAAAAGAAGCCTATACAGAGGATCTCATTCTTTATTGAATTCTACTGGCTTTTGTTCTGTAGAACCCCATTATTCGTCTGATTTATTTAAGCGCTTAAGCAATTGCCAAAATCTTCTTGATGTAAATAGAATGGGAAAGGCTTAAGAGAGGTAAGTGCTGTTCTGACTACGGACAGACTTTAAGATGGAGTTTAAAGGCTCTACTGATTTGGGGCCTGTGATGGGGTGGGACTCACCACCGTGGCGCTCCCTGCTGGATGTCC